CCCCCCCCCCCCCAAAAAAAAACCTTTTCCAGTAGGATTTCTAGCTCTTTTCATATTTTATTTCTTTCTTGCACAGACAATTAGTCAATTACAATCAACTTATATTATCCGTAACAGTTTGAGTTGCTACATTGATATTGTGTGATATATCGATAGGAACGAAACCGCCAATTCATTTATACTTGTGATTGCAACACAGGGCAAATATTCATTTCAAAACAAGAGGGATTGAAGTTGTAGAAAGTGCATTACAAAATCTGGAATTATTAAATGCACGAAATTCGAGAAACTTTGATAAAAATTCCTCTTGGGAAACACGGAAAATTCTCTTTCAAAGATCGGAAAGGGAGCATTTTTCAACCCCCCCCCCCCCTTGGTTGAGCCCCTCCCCCCAATAACTATTTGTTTCCGACAGTATTGTGTTTCATAAATTATATGAAAAATCTGCAACAAGATTTAATACACTTATACACAATTTTAAACGTTTCTTCAAATGAGACAAAGTAAACTTGTAGTTTCAATGTCCGTTGAGTCAATCCTCTTATTTATCTAAGCGTTTCTTTCGGCTAGCGAGAAATAGTTTATCAGCATTGAATTTATTCTCAAACTCCGTCGGATCTATGCCAGACTTTTCCATCTCGCTGATAACATGTTCCTTATACAACTGCACAAATCGCACGACAATTATCGGCGTCGGGAAGCAATACAATACTATAACTCCTGAAAAAGCACAGAACGCGCCCAGAATGCGTCCCAGGACTGTTTTCGGAACGTAGTCGCCATAACCCACTGTAACCATGGTGATGATGACGTAGTAGAATGTATCAGGGATACTCTCGAATTGAGAATCTTCACTGAGGCCTTCGATATAGTACATTGAGCTTCCGAACAGTATCACCGTGATGAAGATGCACAAGGCAAGCGCGCGGAGTTTTTCTTGGCAATCTTTCATTGCTGCGGCGAAAAGCATCGGAGCACAATGGTAGCGCGATAATTTGAACAATCGTAGACAGCGCCCGACTCGTAGAATCCGTAGCACCGCAAAAGATGTCGCTCCCTCGTCGCTTGGCAGAAAAAGCGTTAAATAAAACGGTAAAACGGCGACCAAATCCACCAAGCCGAACGGCGACACTAAAAACCGGAATCGATTTGGTGTGAAACAAAAACGTAAAATTAATTCCATTGTGAACCACGTGATCCACACACACTCCATGAGGAACCAATTGATTTTCTGCGGTTTTAATGCGGGAACTGTTTCGAGGCAATACGTTATGAGCGATAGAGTGATTATGAGTATGGAAAAATAACCCAAATATTGTGCAAATGTACTTGATTCTGGATTTTCCAATAATTCCCAGCCTCTTTCTCTGAATGTTTGCTCGCTTGGGTGTTTTTTCGTATTAGATTCTATAACTTTGTTTAAAATTGGAAATCGCCTGTCGTTAATTTCGTAGAATTTTAGTTCCTCGTTGAAAACGTCGCTGGGTACATCTTCCGGTCGGCATAAGATACCCTTGGATTGGTAGTAAAAAAGGATCGCGTCAAACGTGTGTTTGTCCCGCGCCAAATAGTATTCGTCTCGGATCGGGTCGTAGTACTTCGTACGCTTCTCGTGAGAGCCGAGTAGTGTTTCGGGAAAACGGTCAAAGGTGCTCTCAAATGTTTCGAAAATGAGGCCGCTCACGTTGAGACGTACTCGCTTGTGATTGGTTACTCCCTGTCGGTTGTCATGGATACCACCACGTGACCATGAGTAACTGCGCTCTTTCTTTCTCAAGTAAGGACTAGGAATTGTTGCACAGGCTTGCATTGACTGCATTGTTTTGAGAATTGTAGGTCAGTTAAGATTTGTCAATGTTGAAAATCTTCACTTTAATTTACCATTAAAACAGAAGACATTTTAACGGGACTCTTAAAACTAAAACTCTTTCATTTGTCGTGAATTTCAAATGTTCCTACAGCAAAAAATAGGAATGAGAGTTAAATTTGCTGAACATATAAAGTCAAAAACTGATTTTGTGCACAAATGAAGGATATATTTTTGTCATGTATATTAGGGACCAGTCATAAAGTAACTGCTAAGGTAGCCCGAAGGGGAAAATAAGTTTTCCAAAAAAAGACCGATGGCTCATCCGCTGAGAACCTAGAAAAAATTTCAAAGCTCATCGTAGGTCATTGGAAAAATTTCACGACTCATCCTGCTGTACATGAATATGTACAGTATAACAGTCACTTTGATCAAACCTTGAGTCACTTTCTCATAACTTGTGTAGTAGTTATAGCATACATTGAGTGCAAACAGGCTATATGTGTTTCATGGCCCATCCATTTGCACAAAGAACAAATTGATAGCCCCACCGAAACTGATGAAAATAATTTCATTGCCCATCCTTATTTCCTCCGGGCCATCCTAGCAGTTACTTTGTGACCGGTCCTTTAGACAATTTGAAAGTACCTTTGCATGCATATACATGTGGTATAACACTTAGTTGTACTCAGGGCCGCCGAGAGGGGGGCGGCAGGGGGGGGGGCAAATTGCTCCGGGCCCCGAGGCTCTGGGGGCCCCTAGAAATTTAATGTTAGAAATTTAATGGGCCTCAGTCATTTTTCGGGCGAAATATTTCTGTTTTCGGGCCAAAATATTTGTGTTTTGGGGGCAATAAACCGAAATTTGGTATGGAAAATTGCGGAAAAGTCCAACGAAAGCAATTATAACACACCTAAAAAGAATTTATTGTTTGAAAAATTTTTTTTCCGGAAAATTTTTTTGCAATAGGGGCCCCTAAAAAATTTTTTGCCCGGGCCCCCGCCAAGCTCTCGGCGGCCCTGGTTGTACTGTGTTAAATACTGAGCCAGCTCCCTCAAACACATTTCTTACAAACCCTTCAAAACTTAGAATTTACCTATAAAAACTTTGGTAGTGTAGACTAGCCTTAAACAATTACCATGTTTTTTATTTTCATAATGGTACTAATAATATTTGCGGCCGGTAAAACTTGCAACATTTGAGCTTGTTTATATAGACTTCTACGACCTTCTACAACTGACAACAGATTTGATAAACATACAACAACAATATCCGCTAGTGAACGAATTGTTTAATATCCTATAAAAAATTAATAATCATGCTTTCAACTTGAAGATTTTCCTACTTTTATCGCAATGAGTTTCGGTTACAATGATTTTTAGCTTGTACTAATGGCTTGCATAAACTATATTAAATTGCATTTTACACGTTTTGTTTTTAAAATATGCAGCGTTGCGTCGTATACGACTTGTGAAATGTACTTTCAATTAACATGTACGTAAAATTAACTTTAAATTTTCATAAACTGATATATACATACCTTATAATTGGTGACGTACCATTTTGTAACCCCAATCAACAAATGTACGTGAGGATCGACGATAATTCTTCCCAGATGAAGCAGCTTTCGGAGCTTCGAATACACACCTGTTTTGTGTCGCGTCTTTTCCCGAATGCATGTGTCGTATGTTATAACTATAACTCTGAGATACCTGCTGGCTTTTTAAATTTGTGGTTTTGACTGTTGTCAATTATGAACGAGTTTCTTTGCATGCGGACAAATTATCCCAAAAGTAGTACATATTCCCAACTCATTGCTCATTGACAGTTTTTTTTGTCACAGTTTACAACGCAATTTCTGATATAGCTAGAACAATGTTTACGTATAGGTAATAGGTTCATACCTTTAACGTATGTTACATGAGAAAAAGACTAGCCGTACGTCTCAATTTTACTTTCAAATGCATTTGCACAGCGTGGATCGATCTGTGCATGCCGGCAAGTTACAGCCAAAATTGCCTCGTGTAATTGTAGGGGGCCAAATATACTCTCTTTAAAACGTCCTCATTTTTAACAACAATACTAGATAACTACATATAAACTATTCATCTGTAAGCATGCATAAAATTTGTAGTACCATTATTAACTAATGGCCCGAAATATCTGACATTATTTTGACATACATAGAGCATATAAAGAAAGGCATGTATTTATTCAACTTTAACATGTTACTGGGAACTATAGGCTGTGGTATGCTACCGAAAATTTTCATTAAATTTATAATCCTTGTAGTCGTGGCAGTGTTAATAACTTGTTTGCTATATATATTTATTATATAGTAGAAAGTGAGATACTGAAAAATACACAGTGAGATATTTTCCATATCATCACTAGTGAAGATATCGATCACGTGACTTTTTACAGAACATTACACGGCCGGTGGCTTGAAGATATGACTTTTATCTTCTCGTGTTAAAAACAATATTTTACTCACACGCTGCGCTCGTTCGTAAACATTGTTTTCACCACTCGAAGTTATAGTCGGTATCTTCGCGCCGCCGTGTAATATCCTCTATATATGATATAAAGCTATACACGGTAGACTAAGGTGCTGATTACATGGTGCCGAGCTGGCCCGGTTAACCGGGCTGACTCGTTTGTTTAGGACCTTACTGTGGTTTTAAAACTCGTATAAAATAAATTTGCGATAAATAATTGGTTTATTATAGATGCAAAATCATCCTAAACCCGATTTAAAACTCATTTTGCTGCCCAATGAAGATTTTCGTGACATTTTTCAGCCCGGTTAACCGGGCTGGCCCGGTCCATGTAATCAGCCCCTAAGTAAGAGCAAAAGTAAAAGAGTCTCAACTCTCAAGCTTTACTATATACTCAGAAAATACTTAGGGAGCATATGAGTAAACAAAGAGGCTCCTAGCTTTTTCCCAGTGAAAAAAGAATATACAAATCCCATGCATTTTTCATTTTAGCCCTTTCACGATCCCTATTTTCATCAACAAAAGGTCAAAGCGATAAACGGCCTCCTAAAAACAGAGGCAATATATGTAATAAGCTAGGTAGCGCCCCCCTACCTAGATTAGCCCATGGGGCCATGGGAACAAATTTGTGAACTGAACCTGACAAATTAGTTAAAGCCTTTGACTTTGTTAATAACTGTATATATAATGCCACTTCCGAAGCTACGAGTAAATATATTTTCTTTTTGCAGCAAATTCCAGTCAAACGTGTAACGGAAAAACGGAATATTCAAGACGTTGTTTTTTTTTTAGTTTTTTTTTTTATTTATTCATTTTGTCACACACATTAAAGATATACATTTACCGTAGAGATAACAATAACATAACTAGAAAATGCAGTGACAGGAGAAGAAAACAGAAACTAAATTCCAATTGATATTCGACCGCTTAACAATTAATGGATAACGAGACGTACTAGGACAATTATGCACGAGCATATCACAGATTACATGCAACTTAACATCCCAGCGGGCAAAATGACGTTTATCCAACGTTGAATCAACGTTGGAAATGACCTTCCAGACGTTGGATAGACGTTGAAAAAGGGTTGACTATGCAAATTGGATCGACGTTACTGTTTCGACGTTGAAACAACGTTGAAATTAGGTTGCCAATCTCGTCAACCATAATTCAACGTTGAATCCACGTTAAAACAACGTTGACATTGGTTCACAAATCGACGTCGTACATTTAACCATGAATGAACGTTAATTCAACGTCTGTTGGCTGCTGTTGAACCAATGTTTGTAAAACAACGTCAGAGCAACGTAGATATTAGGTTGTCGACGTCGCAACTTTTTTCCTACCAAATTTCAACGTTGAAACAACGTCGTGTGCCGGTGGGATATAGGATACTGTACAACGAATTTTAGAACAAAATTATCTATGGTGGTATGTAGGTAAACAGTTTGGCTTTGTAATAAGATTGTAGATGGTGCTTGAAGATCTGTAGGGAATGGGCGGCTTTGATGTTTGGTGGTAGATT